CTTTCAGAGCCCGCCCGCCCGAGGCGGTAGAGCCCCCCTCGGAGGGAGGCCGATCCGCCAGCCCTCCCTCCACCGCCTGCCTTAGCTTTCCTGCGGGGTAACTGGAGGGGTCACGGGGACCCAACCTTTAGGGTCCCGTGGGCCATGTTAAGAGGCCTAGATAGTGCCCTGGTCCGGGTAGCTCAACTGCTGCAGTGGTTCTCAACCTTCTGGCCCTTTCAATACAGTTCCTCACGTTGTGACCCAACCATAAGATTATTTTCGTTGCTACTTCATAACCGTAATGTTGCTACTGTTATGAATCGTCATGTAAATATCTGATATGCAGGATGGTCTTAGGCGACCCCTGTGAAAGGGCCATTCGACCGCCAAAGGGGTCGCGACCCACAGGTTGAGAACCGCTGGGTAGAGCCTTGTCCCCATACACCAAGGTTGCAGGTTCAATCCCTGGTCAGGGCACAAATAATCAATGAATGCATAGATAAGGAGAATAGCAGATCACTGCTTCTCTCTCTCCTGATCCCGCCCTGTCTGGTGCCCCCCTGGGAGGGCCCTGCTGTGTTGTCAGCCCCTAGGTGGTCAGAGGTGGTCTGAGCTGTGACTCAGCCAAGTGAGCGGGGAGGAGAGGCAGAGGGCAGAGGAGGAGGAACCAGGGAGGAGGAAAACTTGTTCCTGCTGGCTAAGGAGGAGGAGAGGCCGGGGCAAAGCAACACAAGCATCCTGGGTTCTACAGACTCAGTTTTACCATCTGGAAAGTGGGGGCAGACGCTCACCCCACACATCCACCTTGAGGACTGAAAAGGCCATTATGTAGGTTACGTGGCTGATTGCTGACCTCCTGAAAGATTTTCAAATTCTGGAACCCCACACATTGGGATCCCCAGAAAGATTTGTTGAGTGTTAGGCCCGCTCAGCCTGCTCCAGCCACCCTCCTGGGAGGGTCACCCAGGGAGCACCGCATTGCTGAGGATGCGGAGGGCTAGGCAATGACAGCCCTACTGCACAGAAAGGCCACCGGAGTGGTGGCAGCCGCCCTATTCTAGCTGGGGACCGCCCCCTTTTAGCCAGTGACAATAATTTACCACCTGGGAGCTCTGAGGTTTTCCAGATTAACTGCCTACACAGTAGACAGGGCTCTGCACCTGGGGGGGCGGGGGGGCGGACATGCTGTGAAACAGTGTAGGTAGCTGTGCAGTGAACGGGTCTCCTGGCAGCTCTGGGGGCGGCACCAGTGGTCAGCCCTGTAAATGCCCCCGCGGAAAGGGTGCCCCAGAAAGAAGAGTAAAGAGCAGGAGGGGTGAGGGCATGAGTGGGGAGGTGGGGCAATGGGGCGATAAGGACACATGTGTAATACCTTAATCAATAAAGAGAAAAAAAGAGTAAATCTTCCCCCAGAGGCCAGGGTGGCCTGGGCTCCCAGGAAGGGAGGGGGCCTCCGGATCCAAGGCCAGTCCTTGGCTTGGCTGGGGCCCCTGCGGAGGTGACTTCAGCAGGGACACTCCCTTACTGGGGCCCCTGAGAACCCGATGGAAACCAGGGGACAGAGCAGCCTTGAAACCCTGGAGGCCTGGGGCCGGCTCCTGGGGGAAGACTGGCCCCGGGTTCCACGGAGAGAAGAGGGGGCGGGTAAACCAGGGAGAGCGAATGTCTGGAGCCCAAGCCCAGAGGGCCCACCCCCAAATGAGGGTGAGGATCCTAGATTAGGGCTGCGGCATCCAAGAGGGAAAGGAGTCGCAGGGAGATAAAGGGGAGAGGCTGACAGTTGGCCGCAGTGGATCTGGGAGCCACCCCACCCCGTCACCCCAACAGACATCAGTTAGATAGCATCGCGAACCAGCCGTGGCCAGGCGCTGAGCAGCGTGGGAGAGTCACACTGTCTCGCTCGCTCAGAGAGCAGCCCCAGCCATCTCTGGCTCAGTCACTCGCCCTCCTGCACGCATCCTGTTTGCCGGGTGTCCGCCCTGTGCCAGCCTGTGTGGAGCCCTCAGGGCTCCTCTGGGGAGCAGACCACACCTCGGGGAGAGTACGGTCAGTCAGGGCAGTAATCGGGGGTAATCACGGCCTATCCCACAAAAACCAGAGTTCCGGCCCTTGGTATGTATTAGAGATCAGTGTGTCCGAGTGCAGCTCTACAGCCCTCGTCCTCCCCAGCATTCCCCCGAGGCCCTGCCTTACAGCGAACACTTGTCTCCTCTGTGCCGGTCTCAGGGTCGACAGGCACGCTCCTGGGTGTGGCAAGAACATGGACCAATTGGAACAGATGCCAGGCAGCACAGCGCAGGTGGGAGGGGGAAGGGAAGAGGAGAGATGAAGGGGCAGGAATGAAAGTTCCTAATATTTCCATCGTAGGCAAGGCCAGATGAGCTCATACTAGGGCAGTGATGGCAAACCTTTTGAGCTCCGCGTGCCAGCATTTTGAAAAACCCTAACTTAACTCTGGTGCCGTGTCACATCTAGAAATGTTTTCATATTTGCAACCATAGTAAAACAAAGACTTATATTTTTGATATTTATTTTACATATTTAAATGCCATTTAACAAAGAAAAATCAACCAAAAAAATGAGTTCACGTGGCACCTCTGACACGTGTGTCATAGGTTCGCCATCACTGGCCTAAATGAATGTACCCACGAAGAAAACGTACATGTATTTAACTGAGGAATTCATCTGCCATGGATTGAATGTCCACGAACCCCACCGCCACGCCAGGTGGAGGCCCTGAGTCCCGGTGGGATGGAGGTGGAGATGGGGAGGTGACTCGAATCAGATGAGCACTTGCGGGCGGAGGGAGCCCCACCGGAACCGTGGACGCAGAGCTAAGCAGAGCGGCGGTCTCTGACTCGGTGCCAGAAGCTGGCGGCAGAATGAGACCAGGTTCCCACGGAGACATCAGCACGCCCCCTGTCCACCACAGCCTGTGAGCTCGGGCAGCCCCCGGGGAGCTGTTCAGCTACCAGACTTTTCAGCTCATAGACCTTTATCCCCAGTTAAGATAAAATCTAAGATGCTGCGTTATATAATCCTTTGTCGGCGCCAAACAAACAGGAGAGCAGACAAGGACTGGATTTGCCAATACATTCTATGTCAGCTATAGAATTTTCCCCCAAACTATGAGACAAAGTTTCTGCAGAAAGCCACAGAGGTAGCCGTGAGCGGCTGAAAACATGGGCTCAGGAAACAAGTTACAGGGGTGAGAGAAAGGGCAGAGGAGAGAGGAGGGGGCCGGAAGGAAGCTTTCTAATAGTCTCGTCGCTGGCAAGGCTTAGGGTGAGAGGAAGTGAAGGTGAGGCACCCGCAGGGAAGAGGAGGCAGAGGGGAGGGCTGGCGTGCTTCCGGAGGGGGAGCCACTGTTCACCACACAATTTACATGCTGCTGCCCAGCCTGACAGGCGTGGCTCAGGGGTTGAGCGTCAATCTATGAACCAGGAGGTCACAGTACCAGGTCACGGTTCGGTTCCCGGTCAGGGCACATGCCTGGGTTGCAGATCGATCCCCAGTGTGGGGCCTGCAGGAGGCAGCCGATCAGTGATTCTCTCATTATTGATGTTTCTCTCTCTCTCTCTCCCTCTCCCTCCCTCTCTGAAATTAATCAAAAGATATTTTAAAGAAAAATAAATGCTGCTGGCCAGTGGCCATCCGCACTGACATCTCCATGCTGTCTGGAGCCTAAATACAGCTGCTTTCCTCACTGACCTAGAACCTGGGGTTGGTGGAGGAAGGCAACCCTACACTCTGAGACTTCAAGACCTCATCATCTTCCGTTCTTGGAATAAATGAAATCACTCTAGAATTGGACGTTCTCACCTACCCCTCGCTCTCTAAAGCTGTTTCCCACGAAAGCTTGTCACATCTTAGAATTATCTGGGAAACTCTCAAGGCCCAGACTATGCCTGCAGGTCACCAGC